GGTGGCTCCGTGGGCAGAGCATCACCCACCCGCACCCCAACTGACCTCCCCCAGCCCAGAGCATCACCCACCCGCACCCCAACTGACCTCCCCCAGCCCAGAGCATCACCCACCCGCACCCCAACTGACCTCCCCCAGCCCAGAGCATCACCCACTCGTACCCCAGCCCAGCATGTCCACGCGCCTGCAGACCCTTTCCAGCTGGGACCAAGCCCCCCACACTGAGAAATCACACAGCAGCCAGGGTAAAGCCATCAGCCAAAGCCCAATATGCTCCTTTTTGGGGCTTTTTAGCCCAGTGGCATGACCTGCGAGGCAGCAAAACCTGACCAGTGCCGGGGCCAGCTCCCTCCACGTCCCTGCAGCTGGCACAGCTCCTCGCATTTGCACAGCTGGTTCTCTAACCAAATATTTGAATATTACCTCTTTTTTTTTTTTCTTTATTAATTTTATGTGGCCTGGGGCAAGAATGAAAATAATCACAACCCTTCCTGCTTTTTTCTCCCCACTGCCCCCCGGCTCCGGCCGCACTTGCATTTTGGCTCCGAAAGCGCTCGCTGCAAACGGGGTTATGCAAACAGGCTCCGCATATTTCTCAGCGGCTGCGATCTGCCACGAGGGCCACACAGCAAAGTTTAAAACTAAACCTCAAATCTTTTTTTTTTTTTTTCTTCTTCTTCCCCTTTTTCTTTATTTTTTAACCCTTCCTGGGGCCGGAGCCCCTTCAGCCCTCAATACTGCCTTTCTCTCGCCATCAATGGGGCATTATGGCAGGGGAATTATTGAAAGCAGAACTCCCAGGCTTTACAATGGGAGCTCTGTGCAAGGCAAATATTGCACAATCTGTTTGCACGCTGCCGGCGCGGTGCCCTTCCCCCTCGGCAGCCCTGCTCACGCCTCGGCCTCCGGCCTGCCGAAACGGGACCTTAAAAATAAGAAATATGAAAGGATTTTAATAAGTCCCTTCTCTCCTTCTTCAGAGCAAGACATTTGACCTAACAGGGCATCGGGGAGCCGAGCCCAGCCTTGAAAAAACACAGCACGTCGCTCTCGCCTCTTAGATGTTTAAGGGTTTCCGCTCTCCCCGTCCAACGTGTGATGCATTTACGTTTTTATTGGGGCGATGAAAGAGCCTAGGCAAGTCTGGAAAAGAAGGGAGCAGTCCCAAGAATGGAGAGAGCTTGTTATTTTGTCTAGAAGGGGGGGAAAAGGCTGAGTGGAGGGGGCGGCCAGGCGATCTGTAGGGAAGGAAGGAGGCTGGAGGCATCGCCGGTCCCAAGCCCGGCAGAGGATGGGGTGGGAGGTGAACACCTCTCCATTGACTTTGAGAGCCTCCAAGAGGTCCTGGCCATCTTGCACTTGGCCTGGGGGATGGATCACAGCCCTATCCCAGTCTTCTCTCTGCCATGAGCACTCTTTGCCCCCTTGGTGTCTTATCCTCCAGGGTTATTCCCCGGGACAATCTTCCCTCCCTGGTGCACAGCAGGCAGGCAGCACTTCTGCCAGGCAGCACCAGGACCTGTCTTCTCCCTACCAGCCCCCAAAAATCACATTTTCCCACTCCAGGGCCTCATTTTCCCCACCCCGAGCCCAGCACTTCCCTGCCTCTGGCTGCATGGACCCTGTGGGTAGAAGCCAATTTTCTTGCGGCAACCACTGCAGCAAAGACCTCGACCAGATTACAGGGATGGGGCTTGATTTGGGGGAACTTTGAGGTTTTTTGAACACACCATAATTTGCTTCCTGGAAGCTGGAGCCAGGGCAGAAGAAAACAGCAAATCTGCATTGGTTCCTGCTTATGCAACCCTCATCATTGTTAAAGGGATGAAGAGCATTGCAACAGCAGCCATGACGTAGGATGCCAAAGCCACGGGGGGTGGTAGCACGTTATGGGGACAGAAAGGAGAGCATCAGCCATCCCTCTGACAAGGGCTCAGCAGCACTGGTGGATGTTGTTCTTGGAGCCAAACGGCCTTTTTTTTTCAATACCCTGCCCGTATTTCGTGCCATTTGCGCAGTTGAAAATAATCATCATCATCAAAACGCACTTAGAAGCTGTAGCACAATATTAGAGCCTTTTCTAATGTAAACCATAGCTTCTAACAACACATGTTGGGCTTGGCCACGGTTTGTTCCTGATGAACATACTGCTGCTCCCCTTCCTCCTCTCCTGGTCACCCAGCACTAGCAAAATAATAAATTAAAGCCCTATATATGAGTCGGTTTGTCTCTTGGGCTAAGGAATTTCCCTTCTGCTTTTGGTCGCTGATAACACATCTCAATGATTCTGCTAATTCTCCCGTGAAACAACGTCTACGCCTTCCTGCTCGTGTTTGTTTTCTTCCTTCGTCTTCATTCAGGAGACTTCAGTCCATCGGCTCCCCTTCCTTGATATAATATTCCTCGCCTTACCCCCACCTCCCGGGAAACTGCAGCTCACCGCCTTCTCCTCTCCTCTCCTCTCTCTAACGACTGGCATGCTCGCTTTGAAGAGCTGGAGAGAAGCCCATGGGTTTGGCACCACTCCTTTCTTCCCATGCCTTATGGCAAGCTTTCCACCTCGCCTGGGTGCTCTCCCTCGTCATCCTGTCGTCCCCCCCCCAACTTTCCAAGCCCAAAATCAAGGCGCTTCCCACTGCAGCTTCCCAGCAGAGAGCCCCGGGGGCTCGCGTGATGGCTGGCAGTCTGGCTGGAGAGTTCCCGGTTGATGTGAACCAGGGATGCGTTGGGACGTGGATTCCCACGGGATGCGGGGAGGACGTCAGGGGAAGTGACTCGAGTCTGGCTTCACAGGCGGGACAGGCTGGAGGCGACGGACCTGCCTGCGTGCAGCAGCGTTCGATGGAAAGTTAAAGAACTTGCTGAGTGGGTGGGTTTGTGCCCGGTCCCACCGGGCTCTCATGGTTCAAGTTCCTGGGGTGGACACTGCTCTGCCCCCAGCACATACGCACCATTCAGAAGGACCAATTTTTGCTAAAAAAAAAAATAGAAAATAGATATATATAAAGAGTCAGCGGTTCCCCGTTCTCCAAGGACTCTCTTTGAAGCAGGGAAGGTCCCAAGGCGTCGGAAGGAAGGATTTAAGCATTTAGCATAGCTGGTTTCTGGCAGCGCTGCCGTGTGACCCTGACATTGGCTTCCCCAGCCTATTGATTTTGGACTCCCCCACCTTCATTCCTGACGCGATTTATCATGGGATACACAGAAACTCCTCAATCCTCAAAGTATGCAAGATGCTGGCATCACCTCCAGCCTCACCCAGGCTGGGGAAGAAAGAGCAATTCTTCCCAGCACCCATCTGGAGAAGGTCTCTCCATCCCATAGCCGCACTGGGCTGCACCCCGGCACTTTTGGTAGAGCCCCCAGGAGAGGTGAGGGCTGTCCCCCCCTCGCCATGAGACAAGCACCGTCGCTGCCCCCAGGAAGGCTGCTCTCCTCCTGGGAACAGCCATGGCAGGCAGCTGCCCATGGACCCAGCACGCCCCAGTTCCTCCACCTCCCCCTAACACCCCGCCGGGTTCCTGGCTCCCCTCCCAAGTCACAGCAGAGTGGGGGACTGGCCGCCCGCTCCCCAGGGCTGGGCAACCTCCTGACTCCTGCCTGCCCTTAGCTTCCATCTCCCCTTTCAGGTACAACCTCTTCAAAGGCAGCTGGTGGGTTTTGGCTGGCAGGAGATGCGACGGCCGGTGGGCAGGGGTGAGCCTGGCCCAGACAAGGAGCCCTTTCTCGCCGGGGGAGCTCGCGGCAGGGCAGGGCAGGATGCCCCAAGCGCCCCGCTTATTTATAACACCGGTTCAGCGCAAGGAAAACACACCTGCCCACACCAGCCGGGCTCACACCTGTAACCCATTAGGGCGAACTGTTTACCCGGGACGTGTTTCCTTAGCACCCCGAGAGGCTGGCGTGCAGGGGCTGCTTCTCCCCCAGCACCAAGGGTTGTTTTCCATCCTGGCAGGAGAGGATGGCGGAAAGCTCAGAAGGGGCATTTCAAAGGGTTTGGCATCAAGGCTGGCCACAACCGAGCCGCTGGAGCTGGAAGAGGGCAGGGAGCACGTCTGGCCAGACCCCGGGCGCCCGTGGGTCTCTGCTGCCCACCCCGTCTCCGCAGGCAGCGGTGAGTCCCGGGCACGGGCGCTGGCAGCACCCACTCCCGCCGTCTCAAAAGGGCTCTGTTCTGTCGAGCGCTGGCTGGGGAGCGGCGCAGAACAGGCAAAGAGCCCAATTAGACATGGCATTACTTAATACAAAAGGTATCAATAATCCAGCGGGAGAGATGAGAGCTCTTTCTCGCTGAGAATGCCAAGAGCGCAAATTGCCTTCTTGTAAGAGAAAGGCTTAATTTCCATAGAACATGATAGATTAAAGCATGAGTGGGTGGGTCCACTCTATTATTCATCAGCCTTCATTGCTAAGAGGAGAGGGTGTGCTGCCTCCTTTGAAGTTTCTTCGAAGGCCCAGGGTGCCCACAGCCATTTTATCAGGGTGGCAAGCAAGATACGAAGGGACGGAGCTTCGAACACTCAGCGCTCGCGTTCCCCACTGCCCTGGGTTTGTAACGCACCAGCCTTGTTGCTGCTATTGCTTCCCAAGATGAATCAAACCAGAAGGTCCTTGTTTAAACCCAGTGAGCTGCTTGACTTTTGGACCTAAACCAGGGGTGAAGATGTCCAGGATGAGCACACCGCTGCATCAGTCGTGTCCAACGCCTACCAGAGCTGCTTTCCCTAGCTGTGCAATGAGCTCCGTCAGCAGAGAAATCTAGGATTAAACTTTGGAACTTGGGTTCTTCCGTCCTGAATGGGTAATGGAGCAAAATAATAATAATAAGAAGAACCAGTTTCTGTCAGCTGAATTTACTGGGGAGCACGCTGGAGTATTTCACTTGAATGGAAAACTCCAGGAGTGATTCTTCAGGGGCAGCACGTTGCATGTGCAGCTAAACAGTGCAGCGTGAGATTGATATGTGGAAATAACTTCATTTCAAAGCGGAGGGGCCCGGAGCAGCCTCCTCCCAGAGCTGTGGGTCGGGACGAGACGTATTCACTGCAGCGCAGGCAGCTGCCTGCCAGCCACCAGTAAAACCACCAGATCGAGCAAAGAAACGCAGTTCCCCAAACAGAAAGCCCCGAACCCAGCGCTGGGGGACCTTGCAAGGAAACGTGGGCACTAAGAGGGAAAAATGTGGAGAAGGGGTTGGAAGGGGCTGGAAGCAAAGTCCCGGAGCGGTGCTGGGAGGTGGAGCCGAGCCAGGGCACGTGCACCGGGACTCCTGTCGCGCGCAAGAGGACGGCAGATAAATGTGCTCTGCAGACACCGGATCTGGAGCGCCGTCCCCGTATTTCAAGCCCACCCATTACCATCGAGGGTTTTCTGCTCTCAGTCGCAGGCATAACTTACAGGGTGGTTGTTGGGAGGCTTAAAGTACCTATATCAATACTGCAGAGGGTGATTCATGATTATCTGCAGTAATCCAGAAGCTATACAAAATTGCTAATAATAGGGCTTCAAAACCGACATTTTAGTCAAGATAAAAAATGACTGGAACAAAATCCAATCATGCTTCGGTAAAACTATAAATGGAAAGGTATAACCCATATTCAGCTCCCCTAAACACCCAGCTAAATGAAAGCAGGGGATGTAGATCAGCCCCAGGATCCAAGTCAAAGCGGGGTTGGGATCTCGCCCCGGGAGAAGTTGATTCTCGAACAGGCTGAAAGCGGCTCCCGATGCCGCAGGACCGGTTTAAATCCAGGATGACGGGGGGGTGGGATTTGGGAAGGGGGGAAGCACGAACACGGCTTATGTAGCTGCCCTGGTTGCTGCGGGCTTGCAACCGCAGAGCTGCGAGAGCTGAGCCTTCAGCTGCAGGGATGCAGATGCAGGGCGCAGTGGGGTTCAAGGTCCTGCTGACCGCCATTTATTTAACGCCGCCGTGCGATCCGATGCACAGTTGCTAGGTGACCGGAGCCCAGGGCTGCAAGGATAATGTGAGAACGGCTGCGCAGGTCAGTGCTGGTCCAGCTCCTCAGCATCGCATCTGTGGCATGTATCAGGTCGTGGCTCCACATCCAGGGAGCAGCATGAGGAATGGGGTAAATGTGGAGCTTGTCCAGGGGGATGCCAGGCACGGCTGGAGATCCCAGCTGGGTCCACGCAGTCCTGCCCTGCAGCCCGGGATATCTACGGGCAGGGAGGGCATAGAGCCTTCCCCAGCTGCACATCCCAAAACTTCCTCTCCCTGGCAGTTCCCACACTCCTTCTGCCTCCAAATGCCTGCTTACCCTGTTGGGAAATCTCTTCTCACCCCGCCTGACTTGCACTGTTTCATCTGCCTACGGATCGGATAAGCTGATAAAATGTGCTGAACGCACCAAACGGAGCCTGTTCCCTCCATCCGCTCCCCACTGCTGGCTCATCCAAACCAGTGCCGCCGCGTCCAAGGCCTCCAAAATCTCTTTCGCCATTAACACTGCAACACAGCGCGGCATTCGCATGGCCAAAGTCAACACGAAATTTGCAGGGATTTTTGTGGTATTGACGGCAACTTGACGACTGAAGCCCAAGGCAGATTTACTGTCACAATTTTCACTGAGGACTGTAAAATTCAACGTGTTGCAAGCCGGTCGTTAACATTTGGCTTTAGGCTTTCACGGTTCTGAATTGGGGAGCGGCAGCAAACGTTTCTGCGTGTTGCTGCGGGACCATAGGCAAGTGTGGGATCAGCTGTCCCCCACCGAACCCCACAGCCCCCCTTGTTTTTGACATAACCAGCCCCTCTTCCATCCTTGACACTCTTCCCAAGGGAGGTGATGTTTTGTCCCTCCTCCCTCAGAGGTCTTCATGGTGAGAGCCAGCTGGGCAAGGAAAGGTGGGGTTTAACCCCACGGTGGCTCCTGGGAGCCTGAGAGAGAAGGAGTCTTTCTTACTTTTTTTCCTACCAAACCATGAGGCATTTCATACTGACCACTTAAATGAAACCAGACAGTTTAGTCCAAGCAATTACTCATAAGCAGCATCTAATTACTTCTAGTATTTATAGAGAAAATAGAAGAATCTCCTTGGAGTATAAACTCAGTGAAGAAGCTGCAGCTGCAAGAAGAGAGCCCGTGTTACCCGCACACACACCCTCTCTCACGTCACGCTGCGCAGCCGCACCCCAGCACCCCACGTCCCTGGTCCACAGGCACTCCCCAAAGTCCCCCAGGGGTGGAATCACCCCTTTCTCCCCTCATCCTTCCATCAATAACGGCGTAAGAAACAGATGGGAGTGAGGGGATTTGCAAATATACATCCCAATATACCATATCCACGCATGCACTGGTGCACGCACACGCTCCCGCAAGAGAAGGAGGGGGAAAACGAAGCCACGTTCCGTGGGAAAACAGCGGCCGGTTCTCCGGCCAGGCAGCCCGTCCTTCCCAGGGAGGCTCCGCCAGCTCCCGCCCCACAGCCTCTCTCATCAGCAGATAAGATCAGAGGTTGGCAGAGCCACCCTCCTGTCTGCTGCGCTGCAGGCTCTTCCCATCCCAGTGACAGATGAAGTTACAAGGGAGCTGGCTGGAGCTCACGGCCGGAGATGCTGTCAAGCCCACACCCGCTGCCCCGGCCTCTTGGGATGGGGGAGAGGATGAGACTCCGGCTTGGAAACCTCCCAGAGCACTTTAATCTTCTTTCTGTCTTGGACAATGCCTCGGGCGGCTGTTTAGAAACGCGAGTTGGCCCTCTAGAAGCAGAATTGCAAAGATCATCTTGCGAGAAGC